TCAGACAAGTATTGATAGAAAAATAAAATCATAGAAGGAAAGTGAAGAGCCTACAGAACTGGTTGGGTCTTACTGTTGATAGGTGAAGGACAGTGGCAGCCCTGTTTTAATATTCTCCGTGTCACTCTCGTCATTTTGTTTTTTCTTTGCGCTTTGTTCCTTTTGTCTCCTTTCCCTTTGTTTTATTTTCATAGGGATGTCCCAGATGCAGCTGGCCCACCATGGCCCCCATGGCCTAGGACACCCCCATGCTGGGCCTCCAGGCTCTGGAGGACAACCACCACCCCGGCCACCTCCTGGAATGCCGCATCCTGGACCTCCTCCCATGGGCATGCCCCCCCGAGGGCCTCCTTTTGGATCTCCCATGGGTGAGTGGGTGCTAGCCCCTTTATCCATCCTCACAACATTTCTCTGTGTGTGAGAGACAGGCTCTACCCCCTGGGTAGCCTTGGCTCCTCCTCCTCCTACTGCCTAGGTGCTGGGGTTATGGGGCCTGTGTGGCCGAGCTGGCAGTTCTGCGTGTCCTCTTACAGCATTTTGTCACTGCCCTGTCCCCTGCCTTCTGTGGCTTCTCACATTTCTTCTGTTCCGTCAGCATCAACTGCTACTTGTTTTCATTTTTATTAACTTTTCTCTTTCTGCAGGTCATCCAGGCCCCATGCCTCCGCATGGTATGCGCGGGCCTCCTCCATTGATGCCCCCTCACGGATACACTGGTCCTCCAAGGCCCCCTCCCTACGGCTACCAACGGGGGCCCCTCCCTCCACCCAGACCCACTCCACGGCCCCCAGTTCCCCCTCGTGGTCCACTTCGGGGCCCACTTCCTCAGTAAATTGCCGTCCTTTGTCTCCCTCTTACACCCTCCCAGTACCGCCATTTCTTGGACCAATCAGAGTTGCTGCAGCTTGTCAGGGCTAGTGCACTGCCCCTCAGCAACTCTGTCCCTGTTTCAGTGTCATTTTTCCACAGGGGGGTTTTTCTTCATTTCTGTTTCAAAATGTTGGTCCAAATTGTTTTACAGATGTATAGAGAAAATAAAAGTATACTTCTTACTCTTTGGTGAAGTAACTTTTAAGAGCAGTCGGGGTACTGTGGGGGAGTGGTATAGAAAGAGGGCGTTCCCCTTGTAGAGGTCACGTGTGCCGCTGCTAGACTACAGTGGCTCAACCACCAGACGCCTGTACCAGAGCAGTTGTTCTGGAGTAGACCTTAGCCTCTGGCTCATGATGGGGACATTAGCAGCAAATAACATGGTGATATATTATCACCTTTAATCCCAGCACTCGGGAGGCAGAGGCAGGCGGATCTCTGTGAGTTTGAGGCCAGCCTTGTCTATAAGAACTAGTTCCAGGATGTGCTCCAAAGCTAAGAGAAACCCTGTCTCGAAAAGCTGAGGGAAAAAGAAAGTAACATGCAGAAAAGTATCCATTGTGAGGCATCTGGAGTTGAGTTGGAAAGTCAGTAAGGGGCTGGGCACGGAAAAGCCATACACTAGAGCGCTGTGACTGAGTGGTGGAGTGTAAGTTACAGTAAATGAAATTACACATGCCGTGTATTATGTAGTAATACAATTTGCCTGGGCTGGAAAGATGGCTCAGAGGTTAAGAGCATTGCCTGCTCTTCCAAAGGTCCTGAGTTCAATTCCCAGCAACCACATGGTGGCTCACAACCAT